GTTTTCCTGCCTTAGCCTCCCGGGTAGCTGGGATTACAGGTGTGCACCATTACATCTGGCTAATTTTTTATCTTTTTAGTAGAGATGGGGTCTCATCAGGTTGACCATTCTGATCTTGAACTCCTGACTTCAGGTGATTCGCCTGCCTAAGCCTCCAAAGTGCTGGCTGGTGTGAGCCATCGCACCCAGAATTTTTTTTTTTTTTTCTGAGATGGAGTCTCTCTCTGTCACCCAGGCTGGAGGGCTGTAGTGCAGTGGGGCGATCTTGGCTCCATGCAACCTCCACCCCCTCCAGGTTCAAGCAGTTCTCTTCCCTAGTAGTTGGGTTTACAGGTGTGTGCTACCATGCCCGGCTAATTTTTGTATTTTTAGTAGGTGGGGGGTGGTTCACCATGTTGGCCAGGGCGGTCTTGAACTCCTGACCTCCAGTGATCTGCCTACCTCGGCCTCTCAAAGTGTTAGGATTACAGGTGTGAGCCAATGTGCCCAGCCTAAAATGATATTATCATTATCAATATTATTTGAGATGGAATTTCGCTCTTGTTGCCCAGGCTGGAGTGCAACAGCGGAATCTCAGCTCACCACAACCTTGGCCTCCCGGTTTCAAGTGATTCTCCTGCCTCAGCCTCCTAAGTAGCTGGGATTACAAGCACCTGCCACCACACCCGGTTAATTTTGTATTTTTAGTAGAGATGGCTTTCTCCATGTTGGTCAGGCTGGTCTTGAACTCCTGACCTCAGCTGATCTGCCCACTTCGGTCTCCCGAAGTGCTGGGATTACAGGTGTGAGCCACTGTGCCCAGCCTGATTTTCTTTTCAAAGGAAACTTACTAGCAAGCCAAGCTTATTTATTATTTATTTTATTTTTAGAGACAGGGTCTTGCTCTTTCACCCAGGCTGGAATACACTGATGTGATCATAATTCACCGCAACCTTGAACTCCTGGGTTCAAGCAATCCTCCTGATTCCACCTCCCAAGTAGCTGGGACTACAGGCGTGTGCCACCATGCCCAGCTAACTTTTTGTGTTTTTTGTAAAGAGAAGTTCTCACTATGTTGCTCAGGCTGTTTTTGAACTACTGGCCTCAAGTGATCCTCCAACCTGGGCCTCCCAAAATGCTGGAATTATAGGCATGAGGCACCACACCCAGCCTGTCTTGCTTATTCTTTTTGTTTCAAATATATCTCTGCTC